TGTCCAACGCCGGTAGGCGAAAGGGTCTTTGGACGAGAATTAGAAGGCAGAGAATCCCGAAGTCCACTGGAAGTCCAAGTAGAAGCAAAGACAAAGAACTTGATCTCTCGGCGTCAGAGTTCAAAGTGGCAGGTACAGGCCTGAGCGGGGCTATTTATAGGAGCTCACTTGTGATTGGAGCATTGGATCCCCGATCTCTCTGGCGGGAGGTTAGGTGCCTCAAGAGTCATACCCATAGCGTAGCCCTAAGGGGCGTAGCACTATGGCGTAGAATAACTGGTTAGCTACGTATCCCGTTGGCCCAAAGCTCTCACTGAAATGTATTTTCTCGTGTAAATATTTGATTGTCTGTTGTACACAGTGAGCTAGCTACATTTAGCTTCATTTAGCCATTGATAGCAAGCTAAGCTAACGTCCTTCCTGTGCTACTGTGCTTTATCTCGTATTATCTGCAGTATTCACGTGTTTCTGTTTTGTGCTTGTATTTAAGTTGTCGTGTGTATATTTGTTTGAGAATCCCTTTCCATAAGTGTGGAGATTACCAACGAGCAATGAGTGACCGGAGTATTCTCCTCATCTGGACCTGGTCTGGACCTGGTCTGGACCTGGTCTGGACCTGGTCTCAGACGTACTTTGGACTTTGTAAACTGTTGGTTTTGCACTTTACTCTTGTTTTGAATAAATCTGTGCTCGTATCCCAAGACTGTGTTTCATTCATTTGTCTGAACACGTGCAGAAAAGGGGTTCAAAAGTAACCATTTCCTCCATATACTTACAGTATGTACTTTTACTACATACTTATGTACGTTAACTACATACATTATATTTGACAGTAAATCAGTATAACCTTGGTAAATGTATGAACAAGGATGGAGACATTTGGTAAATACAAAAAGGTTTTATTTTTGGACAAAATAAATGTTTAAGCATATGACAAAAAGCGACAAATCTGATAACATCTCTGGCCTCCTCTGCACCAGTGCTACACAGCTGCTGTTGCTACAGGTGTGTAGTCACAGGTCTCTCCATGGTTTTGGCAGATGGTACAGAGCAGCAGGTCAGCACCATTGACTTCACATGTTCAGTGTCCGACTTCATTTTCAACAACCACTCGCGCTGTGCTGAATTTTCTATTAAATACTTGCTGTCAGTGTGTCACACGGTGTCCTGAAAAGGTTTTAGGAGCCAGTTCTGCAGGGGGTAAGAGGAGCCCCCTGGAGGTAATAGTCAGTACTACAGGGGGTAAGCAGAGCCCCCTGGAGGTAATAGTCAGTACTACAGGGGGTAAGCAGAGCCCCCTGGAGGTAATAGTCAGTACTACAGGGGGTAAGCAGAGCCCCCTGGAGGTAATAGTCAGTACTACAGGGGGTAAGCAGAGCCCCCTGGAGGTAATAGTCAGTACTACAGGGGGTAAGCAGAGCCCCCTGGAGGTAATAGTCAGTACTACAGGGGGTAAGCAGAGCCCCCTGGAGGTAATAGTCAGTACTACAGGGGGTAAGCAGAGCCCCCTGGAGGTAATAGTCAGTACTACAGGGGGTAACAGAGCCCCCTGGAGGTAATAGTCAGTACTACAGGGGGTAAGCAGAGCCCCCTCGGAGGTAATAGTCAGTACTACAGGGGGTAAGCAGAGCCCCCTCGGAGGTAATAGTCAGTACTACAGGGGGTAAGCAGAGCCCCCTGGAGGTAATAGTCAGTACTACAGGGGGTAAGCAGAGCCCCCTGGAGGTAATAGTTAGTACTACAGGGGGTAAGCAGAGCCCCCTGGAGGTAATAAACAGCTATCACCGAAATTATAATAAATCCATGCAGCGCACCAATGTTACTAGTAACGCGTCGTGCGTAAATGACGGGGTCTGACAACGCTAAGGAGATACTAGGAGGTACTATTTTTGATGGAAAACCACCCGAACTCGGCCATGCCGTGACGTGTCGTTCCGTACCGTACTGTTACTGTGGAAAAGCGGCATAATAGATAGGGACCAACCAGGGCCAACCGAGTGTAAGCGGTGGCGTATTCCTGCCGCTGTCTGTGAAAAAGCTGAGGAGGATCTTTTTATGTTTTTATTTTAATTTTTAGTATATTCCTACAAATAGACATTTGTATTCTAATCGTACATTCGTATTGTTCATATGGATCTTCATCCATCTTCGATCAAATTTCATCTCCAGTGTTCTGTAAAGGAGGTATAAATATTCATATAGATTGAATTATTCCTTAATAAATGCGTTTGTTTTTTAACCAAAATTAATTGACACCCCTGGCTTAGGGGATAAGGTCACGATCAAGTTTATTTATATAGCACATTTTAAAAACCGACAGGACTGTCACAAAGTGCTTACCAGACATTACAAAATACAACACACAAATAAGATACAGCATAAAATGAAATACAGGTCCACTATCATAAAAGTTTCACCATTGCTTGAGTTAAAAAGCCAAAGCAAAGAAATGTGTCTTAAGCATAGACTGTATATAAGTCTAAAGCTCTCTACATAGGGTTAGCTCTCCACAGAGGGTTAGCTCTCCACAGAGGGTTAGCTCTCCATAGAGGGAGCAGCTCTGACACAATAAGGGAGAGCGTTCCAGAGTTTGGGCCCTGCCACAGCAAAGGCTCGGTCTCCTCTGGTCTTTTGTCTAGACCTGGGACTGGTCTCCTCTGGTCTTTAGTCTAGACCTGGGACTGGCCTCCTCTGGTCTTTTGTCTAGACCTGGGACTGGTCTCCTCTGGTCTTTAGTCTAGACCTGGGACTGGCCTCCTCTGGTCTTTAGTCTAGACCTGGGACTGGTCTCCTCTGGTCTTTAGTCTAGACCTGGGACTGGTCTCCTCTGGTCTTTAGTCTAGACCTGGGACTGGTCTCCTCTGGTCTTTAGTCTAGACCTGGGACAGTGCAGAAGAAGTTGGTCAGAGGACCTCGGTGCTCTTCCCGGAGTGTGCAAAGTAAACAAATCAAGTGAGATATGACGGAGACAGGTCGTGCAGAGATTTAAATACTAAAAATATAAAATTAAACTTAATTCTTAAAGCGACAAGAAGCCAATGTAGAGACGACAGCACAGGAGTGATGTGCTTGTGTTGTCCAGTGCCAGTCAGCATCCCCGAGCTGCTGCATTCTGTACCAGCTGCAGTAGACAAATGTGAACATCTGGACCTACTGCGCATGTCTACAGAGGTGAATAGCTTTAGGTTGATTCTATGAATATGGGGTGGGGACAAAAGGGTCGACACCAAGCCCCGGCGATCCAAGATGGCGCCCTATTCAAATGAATGGTTGTGCTCAGTGGTGCTTTGTGACGGCATGGGAGCTGAAAGATTAGCCGAAGTCGCCTGGAACTCTCAAAGATCTATGGGAAACTCTCAAAGATCTATGGGAAACTCTCAAAGATCTATGGGAAACTCTCAAAGATCTATGGGAAACTCTCAAAGATCTATGGGAAACTCTCAAAGATCTATGGGAAACTCTCAAAGATCTATGGGAAACTCTCAAAGATCTATGAGAAACTCTCATAGATCTATGGGAAACTCTCAAAGATCTATGGGAAACTCTCAAAGATCTATGGGAAACTGTCAAAGATCTATGGGAAACTCTCAAAGATCTATGGGAAACTCTCAAAGATCTATGGGAAACTCTCAAAGATCTATGGGAAACTCTCAAAGATCTATGGGAAACTCTCAAAGATCTATGGGAAACTGTCAAAGATCTATGGGAAACTCTCAAAGGTCTATGGGAAACTCTCAAAGGTCTATGGGAAACTCTCAAAGATCTATGGGAAACTCTCAAAGATCTATGGGAAACTCTCAAAGATCTATGGGAAACTCTCAAAGATCTATGGGAAACTCTCAAAGATCTATGGGAAACTCTCAAAGATCTATGGGAAACTCTCAAAGATCTATGGGAAACTCTCAAAGATCTATGGGAAACTCTCAAAGATCTATGGGAAACTCTCAAAGATCTATGGGAAACTCTCAAAGATCTATGGGAAACTGTCAAAGATCTATGGGAAACTCTCAAAGGTCTATGGGAAACTCTCAAAGGTCTATGGGAAACTCTCAAAGATCTATGGGAAACTCTCCTGTATTTGGGCATCGTCTGGTCCTCCCGGTTCTGTGCAGTGGATGATCTCCCATAATGCATTGTGTCAAACACGTGTGTGTGGGTCTCACACCGGGTCTCACGCACGTGCACAGAGGGTCTCACGCACGTGCACAGAGGGGCTCGGCCGCGCTCTGACCAATCAGAGCAGTTCATCAGAGCGGGAGTTAGAGCCAGAGCCAGACGAGCAGAGTTTGTGGCACTAAAGTGTGGATTTAAACAAAACCGAAGGATTTAAGAAGAAAAAAAGTTCAGGACGACAAGGGACACTAACATCCCCACAAAATCTGACCTTTGTGAAAGCTGTAGGTTCTCTGTCAGGTTCTCTGTCAGGTTCTCTGTCAGGTTCTCTGTCAGGTTCTCTGTCAGGTTCTCTGTCAGGTTCTCTGTCAGGTTCTCTGTCAGCTGAGGTTGAGCTGTTTTAATATGCATTGAGTTCTATGGGGAAAATTTCTGGGTAGCCCACGTGAATTTAGTCTGGTTCAGTCTGGTTCAGTCTGGTTCAGTCTGGTTCAGTCTGGTTCAGTCTGGTTCAGTCTGGTTCAGTCTGCAGTACCGCGAGAATCCCCTGAGCACGTGAGTTATTCAGCTACAAGCTGTAATACCCTATCCAGTTAATATAATAGCTCCATGGTCGGCACTGGATCATATACGGAATCTGGACGAAACCGGAAGTAACAATCCTACTTTCGAATTAGTTTTAGACTAATACATTCTTAAGTGGTGACTGGTTAAGTTTTAGGCGTCTGATTAAGTTAGGGTTAAGGCTGGGTTGGGGTTATTTTATGGGAATGACTTAAGGCATAAATAGGTAGTTTTGACCGGGACAAAAGCCCTGCGTTTAAAATTTTGTTCAATGTTGAAAATAGTTATGAAGACAGCTTGAACAGTGCCCTCTCGTGGTCATCTTATTCTCCTCTCCCTCTCCTCTCCCTCTCCTCTCCCTCTCCTCTCCCTCTCCTCTCCGCACTGAGGCTGATCCCTTGTCCGCGCCGTACCTCGTCACAGCCGCGGGAGGAGGAGCGCGTACTGCGGCTCTCAGCACATCCTCCGCCGCTCTCTGCAGCCGACGCACGGGCCTGAACCCTCCTTGCGCCCGTGACCAGTGTGGTGGCCTGGGCAGCGGAGAGGAGAGGGCTGCTGCAGGGATACAGGCGCCTCCTCAGCGTCCCGGGAGGAGGAGCAGGAGGAGCAGAAGGAGCAGGAGCAGCAGTAGGAGCAGCGGGAGCTGAAGGTGAGCCATGGAGGCGGTCCTCTCAGCGCTCTGTTTCATGCCGCTTGTGCAGACGCACTGCGGTGTCCGTGAGATCTGTGCCTCTGTCTTATGCCAGAGGCTGCTTATGAGGGTTTACGTTATTGTGGCCTATGTACCGGCTGAGGATGCGGCAAGGAGCCCCAGCTGCTCCATCACCATCACCACTTTGCCCAGACACACAGGCGTTTCCAAAACCATTGGTAAAGATCTATCCATGTTTAACACCAGTCAAGTGACAATTAGTGACTAGTTGAAATACAGAAAGTAATGCTAATGGAAGGTACAGATATCAAACGCTGAGTTTCATCCCTGCTGATGCTCTGCCAGGCCTCTATTGCTGTTTAGCTCCTGCACACCCCCTGCACACCCCCTGCACTGTGACACCAGCACCACACGTGCACACAGTGTCATGGTTTACGATGATGTGTTGGATCATTTACTTTCCTTTTCCACACTCTTCTTTCTCTTCAATCAAGGGATGTTGTTCTATGTCTTATCCAAACTATTGAATTGTTTCTTGATATTTTAATGGCTCACCTTAACCTGTCTATGTCATCCTCAACGTTTGGCTGCAGCCGGCCTATGTTCACCTTGCCTGACCAGCCAGAAACACACAATGTTTCACCGGGCCAAAACTCACTGGTGCATTCCCTAAAAAATAATGTTTTATAGTCTCTCTGGCCACGGCACGAGGGTGCAGTGTTTAGCACTCACAGGAGGAAGATCCTCGATTTGACTCAACCTCCAGACAGGTTCTTTCTGTGTGGAGTTTGCATGCTCTTTCTGTCTGCGTAGGTTTCCTCCAGGTGCTCTGGTTTCCCCACCAGTCACATAATGTACAACCTGACCTAGGTGGAACAAGGTTGTGTTGTGAGTGTGGGAGCAAAAAATTCGAATTAGCACTAAGCTACAATCTGGTGTATTTGCAGCACTGCTGTTCAATACACACTCTTCCATTCAAATTAATAGAATTTTTTGTTTTATCTCAGCCACATTGCTTACTTCACTGTTAATGAAAGGTCTTTTGCTTGTTTCATTTCAAACTTAATCTGGTGGTGTATACTTAAAGAATTAAAAAATATTAGGCAGATAGGTCAATGTCCCACTGGTTTTGGATGTATTATTTACAAATTCACTTTTCGCTTTTATCATTGTTATTGGAAATGTAATAAGCCTACATATCAACTCTTGTGAAAATATATTTCTGATTTTGTTGTCCATTATCGGCCAATCCAAAGCCTCTCTGTGTATATGCCTCAGGCTGTGGACATGGCGAATGCGTCTCCAGACCTGGACAACGCAGAGGCCCAGCGGCAGCTCCACAACAACAACCGGCCGTCCTCCTCTGCATTCTGGGAAACCGAGTGCACCAGCTCCAAGCTCTTTGAGTGCTCCCGCATTCGGGCCCTGGCAGGTGAGAGAACACGAGCTTCACGTACAAAGCAAGGGTATTTGTGTAGCTTGTAGAAAAGACAAAAACATAATTTCCTCAAGAGGAGCTATAACACAACATTGGCTGGGGACCGGGATAGGTGGTGTAATCTGCTAGCTCAGGGGTGGCCAACCAGTCAGAGACTAAAGGCGCGTTCAGACCAAAAGCTTCAAAAAGCTTTTGACGCGCTTCAACTGACGCCGGGATAGTTTTGTCATTTTGGTGCTTGAAGCTTTTGACGCGAGTGACGCGCCTGACGCCGGTGGGAGGAGCTTCTCTGTTGCCTGTTGTCAGGACAGCGGTGGATTTTTCAATGAGCAGCGAGCCTTTATTTGTTATATAAAGCCAAATAACGTTGTTGTAGGGCTTCAACAAAACATGTTCTGGGTTCACCACAGACTGAGGCTGCAGTGTTTGCAGAGTTCCGTCATTTACTCCAGGAGCTGCGCACGGAGGAGTTTCGCTTTCAGCGGTACTTCCACATGTCACTCGCCCGGTTTGAGTTCTCAAACCCCGGAGCTCGCCTCTCCCTGCCTCTCCCTGCCTCTCCCCGGCTCTCGCCTCTCCCTGCCTCTCCCCGGCTCTCGCCTCTCCCTGCCTCTCCCCGGCTCTCGCTCGCCTCTCCCTGCCTCTCCCTCGCCTCTCCCCGGCTCTCGCTCGCCTCTCCCTGCCTCTCCCTGCCTCTCCCTGCCTCTCCCCGGCTCTCGCTCGCCTCTCCCTGCCTCTCCCTGCCTCTCCCCGGCTCTCGCCTCTCCCTGCCTCTCCCTGCCTCTCCCCGCCTCTCCCTGCCTCTCCCTGCCTCTCCCTGCCTCTCCCCGGCTCTCGCCTCTCCCTGCCTCTCCCCGGCTCTCGCCTCTCCCTGCCTCTCCCTGCCTCTCCCCGCCTCTCCCTGCCTCTCCCCGCCTCTCCCCGGCTCTCCCTGCCTCTCCCTGCCTCTCCCTCGCCTCTCCCCGGCTCTCGCTCGCCTCTCCCTGCCTCTCCCTGCCTCTCCCTCGCCTCTCCCCGGCTCTCGCTCGCCTCTCCCTGCCTCTCCCTGCCTCTCCCCGGCTCTCGCCTCTCCCTGCCTCTCCCTCGCCTCTCCCCGGCTCTCGCTCGCCTCTCCCTGCCTCTCCCTGCCTCTCCCTCGCCTCTCCCCGGCTCTCGCTCGCCTCTCCCTGCCTCTCCCTGCCTCTCCCTCGCCTCTCCCCGGCTCTCGCTCGCCTCTCCCTGCCTCTCCCTGCCTCTCCCTCGCCTCTCCCCGGCTCTCGCTCGCCTCTCCCTGCCTCTCCCCGGCTCTCGTCCGCCCGGAGCTGCCTTGCTCTGAGCCAGACTCATCGTCAGCCTGTTCTTATTTTAAATAAACTAGGTTTACTACACAGCATGTGTACAATGATTTTTGTTACTCAGAATGTTACTACTCATACAAATAATATTACTAATAACAATAATGACAATAAAACAGCAGCAGCATGACTTCTCTCCATGACAGAGACAGACCCTCTGCTGCTGCTGCTCCTCGTCTCCTGATTGGTTGAAGCCCGCGTCAAAGCTTCAAAAGCTCAGCTTTGCTCAGCTTCGGCGTCAAAGAGATTGTTGTGATACGCGAGCGTTTCGCGCGTCAAAAGCTTCAAGTGAGCGCGTAGTACGCGCGACTCTTGAAGCTTTTGACGCGCGTCAAGTGACGCCGGGGCTCTCGGCTTCACCTGACGCGCTTCACCATTCACTTTCAATGGAAACCTGACGCTTTTTACGCCGAAGTTAAGTCCGGTGTGAACGCCCCTTAAGGCCCTGTCCACACGAAGTCAAGCTCAGGCCTAAACGCAAAAATACTTTATCAATCCAGTGTATGGTCCATACGAGGCCGGCGTTTTGGGGGGGGTGTAAACGAACATTTTTGAAAGTAGGTCCCAGAGTGGAAAGATTTCAAAACTCCGTATATGCCGCTCCGTGGTTACTGCCTCTCCGCAATGTATCTGAGACGCGTCATCGCCCCGCCTCTTGTTAAAGCAGCATGCGCCGCACTCAGAAAATAATGACAACAACAATGTAGCTTGTTGGTTTTGTAATCCAGTGCGACCCGAAGCAACAGTTCAACCTCATCGTCCGTCCATACTAATGTAGTACCAGCTCGCCCACTCGCCATGTTGTCTGTTTACAACATTCTGCGCATGCCCAGTTCCCGTCACGGAAGTTTGGGCTTGATCCCGTCATTGCGTCACAGCGCCACCAACAGGTCTGGCATAGTTTCACAGCGTTTTCAGGCGTATTGACTACATTCATATGGACGCACACATTTACTGAGCTAACTCCGTGTTTACAGAAAAAGTTTCTGAAATTATAAGCGTTTTGTCTTCGTGTGGATATAGCCTAAGAGCCAATTTTCTTTTACTGTGTTACTGCTACGAGCCACATCATACAAGTGTGTGTACACACACACACACACACACACACACCTTTATTGTATACCTTAGATTTAATGTCACACACACAAATAATGACTCCTACAGTACTAAAGGGCTCGACTCTCCCCGGTTTTTGGGCAATTCCACCAGCTCGCTTTAGCCGCAACCTGGTACTTATTTAGTAACGGTTTGGCTCTGGTTCTAGCCGGGCCGAGTAGATACCAAAACAATCTGACGTTGGCGACTGTCAATTCTGACAGATATGGATAGATATGACACATAACTGTCACGGGAGAGGTGAATGAAGGACTCAAACTGCAGGAATGCCAAAATAAGCTTTTAATAAAACAAAGTCAAAGGCAAAAAAACAAACTCCAAAAATCCAAAGTAACCAGGACAGTACTTGACAAAACAATGAAGCAGCAACCAGAGGAGAGAAGCACAGGTACATATAGACACAGACACAGGTACATACAGACACAGGTACATACAGACACAGGTACATATAGACTCAGGTACATATAGACTCAGACACAGGTACATATAGACACAGGTACATATAGACACAGGTACATATAGACACAGACACAGGTACATACAGACACAGGTACATACAGACACAGGTACATATAGACTCAGGTACATATAGACTCAGACACAGGTACATACAGACACAGGTACATATAGACACAGGTACATATAGACACAGGTACATATAGACACAGGTACATATAGACACAGGTACATATAGACACAGACACAGGTACATATAGACACAGGTACATATAGACACAGACACAGGTACATATAGACACAGGTACATATAGACACAGACACAGGTACATATAGACACAGGTACAGGTACATACAGACACAGGTACATATAGACACAGGTACATATAGACACAGACACAGGTACATATAGACACAGACACAGGTACATATAGACACAGACACAGGTACATACAGACACAGACACAGGTACATACAGACACAGGTACATACAGACACAGGTACATATAGACTCAGACACAGGTACATACAGACACAGGTACATACAGACACAGGTACATATAGACTCAGACACAGGTACATACAGACACAGGTACATACAGACACAGGTACACATAGACACAGGTACATACAGACACAGACACAGGTACATATAGACACAGACACAGGTACATACAGACACAGGTACATATAGACACAGACACAGGTACACACAGACACAGGTACATATAGACACAGACACAGGTACACATAGACACAGGTACATATAGACACAGACACAGGTACATACAGACACAGGTACATATAGACACAGACACAGGTACATACAGACACAGGTACATATAGACACAGACACAGGTACATATAGACACAGACAACAGGTACATATAGACACAGACACAGGTACATACAGACACAGGTACATATAGACACAGACACAGGTACATACAGACACAGGTACATATAGACACAGGTACATATAGACACAGGTACATATAGACACAGGTACATACAGACACAGGTACATAGACTCAGGTACATATAGACACAGGTACATATAGACACAGGTACATATAGACACAGACACATAGACACAGACACAGGTACATATAGACACAGACACAGGTACATACAGACACAGGTACATATAGACACAGACACAGGTACATACAGACACAGGTACATATAGACACAGACACAGGTACACACAGACACAGGTACATATAGACACAGACACAGGTACATACAGACACAGGTACATATAGACACAGACACAGGTACATATAGACACAGACACAGGTACATACAGACACAGACACAGGTACATACAGACACAGGTACATATAGACACAGACACAGGTACATATAGACACAGACACAGGTACATATAGACACAGACACAGGTACATACAGACACAGACACAGGTACATATAGACACAGACACAGGTACATACAGACACAGGTACATATAGACACAGGTACATATAGACACAGGTACATAAGACACAGTACATACAGACACAGGTACATATAGACACAGGTACATACAGACACAGGTACATATAGACACAGACACAGGTACATACAGACACAGGTACATATAGACACAGACACAGGTACACACAGACACAGGTACATATAGACACAGACACAGGTACACACAGACACAGGTACATATACACACAGACACAGGTACATATAGACACAGACACAGTACACACAGACACAGGTACATATACACAGACACAGACACACAGACACAGGTACATATACACACAGAGGTACATACAGACAAGACACAGTACATAAGACACAGGTACATAGACACACAGACACAGGTACATATAGACACAGACACACAGGTACATAAGACACAGACAGACGACAGACACAGGTACATAGACACAGACACAGGTACATAGACACAGGTACATACAGACACAGGTACATATAGACACAGGACACATACCAGACACAGGTACATATCAGACACAGTACACAGGTACAATAGACACAGACACAGGTACACACAGACACAGGTACACGACCAGTACATACAACCAGCGCACAGACAAGACACAGACACA